TGCCACCAACCTACATCCAGGTCCTGTGCCCACAGACTGCTATATTGACAGCCACTCACAAAAGCCTGCTCCACACCAGCCCACAGTCCACCTAATTTTCTTCTCTCTTGACTGCTCCTGTTCAGCTTACTCTTCTAGTGAACATTCAGTCCACTTCTCGGTCCTCTCTCCCAATGTTCAGGGCTCCAGGATCATCATCTGTATTTGTTTCACTCAGTCTCCCATGACTTTTTTTTTTGCAGAGAACAGGCTCAGTGCATCTGCCATACTCTACTATCTTGCTCTAGCTTCTAGCTCATTTCGTTTTGAAAATCCAATATGTATGTTATACTAACAATACTTCTCAATTTTGGACTTATTTCAAGTACTCAATAACCACATGTGCCTAGTAGGTACCACGATTCTAGGAAAGTTCAGTTTCACATGCATACCGTTCTGTTCTGTCAGGTGGTAGAAAGTAAAGATGAATAAAACCTTATCCCTGCTCTCAAGGAGGTCAAAGTGCAGAGATTTCTTCTGGCAGGGACTTTCTTGATGAGTATAGGGCTGACACCAGACATATGCATTTCTCTCAGATTAAAGGCAATCTCCTTCCCCAAGTCACTTTACACCCTTCAGTGTGATGTAATATGCTAGTTTTATTAAAATAAGACACTCTACAACCACTGGCTAGAAAACTTTAAAAATAAATATACAAACCTGTGCCCATTCCAAAGAAAGGTGACCCTGCAGAATGCAGAACTTATTGAACAATAGTATTAATACCACACAAAAGCAAAATTTTCTAAAGCTAATTAAAAAATGGTTGCAATAGCATAAAAATTCAAGTCAGAGTCATGAGAGGACATGGAACAAGGAATATCACTGCTGATATCAGACGATCTTGGCTGAAAGCACAGAATACCAGAAAGATGTTTACTTGTGCTTTGTTGACTATGCAAAGGTATTTGACTGTGTGGATAACAAACTATGGATAACATTGTGAATAATGGAAATTCCAGAACACTTAATTGTGCTCATGTGGAAATTATATATATAGACCAAGATAGTCATTCAAACTGAACTAAGGGATACTAAATAGTTTAAAACTAGGAAAGGTGTGTATCAGGTTTATATGTTTTCACCAGACTTATCTAATCTGTTGTATGCTGAGCAAATAATTCAAGAAGTTGGACTGCATGAAGAAGAATGAAGCATCAGGATTGTATGAGGAAGGCCCATTAACAGCGTAGAATATGCAGATAACACAACCTTACATGCTAAAAGCAACAAGGGCTGGAAGCACTTGGTGATGAAGATCCAAGACTACAGCCTTCAGTATGGATTACAACTCAATATAAAAAAAATAAAATCCTCACAACTGAACCAATAAACAACATCATGATAAATGGAGAAAATATTGAAATCATCAAAGATTTCATTTTACTTGGATCCACAATCAACGTTCATGGAAGCAGTAGTAAAGAAACCAAATGACAGATTGCATTGGGCAAATCTGTTGTAAAAGACCTCTTTAAAGTGTTAAAGAGGAAAGAGGTCACTTTAAGGACTAATGTGCACCTGACTCAAGTCATGGTATCTTCAATCGCCACATATGCATGTGATAACTGGGTAATAAATTTAAAAAATAAACACAGAAGAATTGATGCATTTGAATTAGAGTGTTCACAAAGAATACTGAAAGTACCATGAACTGACAGAAGAACAAACAAAGCTGTTTTGGAAGAGGTGCAGACAGAATACACCTTGGAATAAAGATGGAGATACTTCATCTCATATACTTTGGACATGTTCTCAGGAGGAACCAGTCCCCTGGAAACAGACACCATGCTTGGTAAAGTGGAGGGTCAGCGAAAAACAGACCCCAGTGAGATGGATTACCAGTGTGGCCGTAAGAATGGGCTCAAGTATAACAATTGTGAGGAGGCTAGTGAAGGACTGTGCAGTATAGTGACAAGGTCACTATGAGTCAGAACAGACTGGATGGCACTTAAGAACAACAAAACGATATGTACAAAGTAAATGACCCTTCCGCCTTAGACATGGGGCTTCACCTCTGAGTGTTAATCACCTGCGAGTGTTAATCACATATCCACCCACATCCTCCCTGAGTAAGAATAGTCAGGAGAGGTAAGATTTCCATAAAGTAAAGGCTTAGTCTAGGAAAGATGCCTTTGTTGACTGTTGTCAAGTTGATTCTGACTCAAAGTGACCCTGTATAGGATTTCCTGGGAGTGACTGGTTGCAATTCAAACTGGATGAATGCAATGCTTAACCCCCAACTCCCTTAACAAAAGTTTTGCTGGCCTTTAAAAGGTTTTAGGTGGGAAAAGTCATCATGTTTGTTTATAGGGGTATGCAGGAATTTCCAGGAAGTGGCCCATTTAGGCATTTAGGCGGGGCCATGGTAATTGTGTGTGTGAGCAGCATTTCTTCAAGATAGATTCTACCACAAATGCTTTCATTTAGGATAGATAAAACTTTTCCTTGGATGTCACACATGAAGAGTTCTCTGGGACTCTGATTTGAGCCTCTTCTAGGGGCTGGTGTTCTCTGCCCCCAACAGAAGGTTGTCCTTCAAGGCTGTACTCATACTGGGTAAAACCAGGTTGTGGGTTAATCCATAGAAACTTGTTTATATTAAAGCGACTGTAAAATGGACAAGGTCTTGTGATTAATGTTTTCACATTCCAAGAGGCCCTGTCTTCTTCCAGGATCCCTGCCTTTCTCCTAATCAACTCCACTCCATGTTACCTTCTCCTCTTCCCAATTCCTTCCCTGCCCACTCCAGATGCCCACAGAAGAACCCTGTTTCAGCAAGTCCATTGCCCTGCTCATGCTGATTGCAGCACAAATTTTGATGGATACAATTTCTTGGTGCTCCAGCCTCCTTTATCTGTGTTCTCCTTCCACCAACCCCCATATAGTACCATGCCATCTTCTTTCTTCAGGAAAGGCCAAAAGATGACCTATACTTCTAAACAACTGTCTTGATATCTCATAGCTTCTTTCAGATTCTAAAGGCTAAGTAATACCAGTACATTTCCTCTTAACACAATCTGTTTTCAGGGAAAGTTCAAATTATATATTGTGCATTTAATACAAGATTTTATCTTTCTCAGGATTTTTCACAGTGTAAACACTCTATATACTATGGAGGCAAGAATCCACATTCTTAAATTAATCTCAAGCATCATCAAGGAAGTAAAAGGAGGGGCATCTTGCTAGAGCTGTTAAAATGTTACTAATGAAGTAAAACCTTGGCCTGGTGTGGCACTGCAGGATAATGCACTGAACTACAAGATCGATTTAACCACAAGGTCGGCAGTTCAAATCCCCAGCCACTCCTCGGAAACCCTACTTAGGGTCTCTATGAGTCAGAACCAACTCCACGGCACTTAACAACAACAACCTTACTTTTGGCTGTGCTTCTGCCAATCTGGTCCATTTGTTGTTGTTGTTGTTGTTATGTGCTGTGGAGTCGGTTCCGACTCATAGTGACACTGTACAGGGTTTCCGAGGCTGTTAATCTTTACGGGAGCAGAAAACCTCATCTTTCTCCCGCAGAACAGCTGGTAGTTTCGAACTGCTGACCCTTGAGGTTTGCAGCCCAATTCGTAACCACTACGCTACCAGAGCTCCTTAATCTGGCCCACTAATTGCAGTTTTTTCCCTTATACCCTCCATATTTTGGCCACATAATGGAATGTACCTGAATTAATTCTTATAATTTTGTTTTCTTTTGTTTTTTTGCCCACGCAATCTATGGATATAATTCTTGAGTTTATCACACTTAAAAAGCATTTACATTCAGTTTGCATTAATTTCCAAAGGAGTACTTGATATTGTTGTTAAGCACTTTCAGGTCAGTTCCGACTCTTAGCGACCCTGAATAGGGTATCCAAGGGTCAGCTAGTGACTTTGAAACACCAACCTTGTGATTCAGACCAACTCGTGGTCAAGGGCTTATACTACAGCACCACACCAGGAGCAATGATTGGCCTTATAGTGAATGGCAACATGAAAATTATACCTATCATCTAATAAACTGCACTGTGATTGAATTAATTGGTAATAGCCTTGTCTATGGAGTCCTGGTGTGATGCTGCGGGATAATGATCTGGACTGCAAGGTTGGTGATTCAAACTCACCAGCTGCTCCTCAGAAACCCTGTACAAGGTCTCTATCAGTCAAACCAACTCCACGGCACTTAACAACAATAACAATCTTTGTTTAAACTTACGTGAATCCTTTTGTCAAGATGTGAAATAGTATCAAATTTTAAGTTTCTGATTCAATACACTTTTTTTTTTTTTTTTTTTTAACTTCATGTTGTTAAAAAAGGATCTGGCTAAAATGTAGATTCTGATCCCATACATCTGGAGTAGAAAGGCATATATTCATAGCAGGGGTTAAGCCAAATGAAGAGGTTTGAAGCCCTGGTAGTATGTGAGAGTCTTCACCCTCTAGCCTGTTTTCTGTTTCATAAAGAATATTCGTTTCCAGCTAATGCAGGTCAGGGTCAAAGGAGATTTTGAACGTGCTAATTAAAATGTTAGATGTTGCTTCTGCAGAAAAAAATAACTTTTATTCACACATTTTGAAAGTGATTCATGGATGAGTGGGGTAACATGTCAGACTATATCCCAGGCCCTAATCGCTTATCAACAATTAAACATTTACCTAAGTCAATCAAATTCACTAAAATATAACTTCATAATAAAACTGAAGTCAAACTTAAAAGAAAATCAACAGGTCAGGTTAGTATTAATATTCTGGCTTCTATAAGTTAAAGATTGCTTTTCATGTTGCAGAATGAGGGAGATGCTGACATACTATGTTCATGGAAGGGGGGCAGCATGATTGTGGTTGCAAGAACATTAGCAAAGGATGCAGGCAAACTGGAATTTGAACAATAGGTTCCGAATCCCAGCCAGCACTCATTACCCTATTAAGTCTTGTGCAGTCTCTGTCCAGAGACTGGACGGGGCTAGTTATAAATGAGCCTGTCCGAGGAGAGGGAAAGCAGAAGTAGTACATCAGAACCTGGAGGTCAGGTGGATGCACTGGCAACTGGGAGGTATCCAGGGAGGACTGTCAGAAAGCTACAGATGATGCTTTGTGAAATTTGACAGAATTGACTGGTTTGCAGCAGCCACACCTGGATAGCTGTATTTGAGCAAGACCATAGGTGTTGTTAAGTGCCACTGAGTCAGTTCTGATCCATAACAACCCTGTATAAGGTTTCTAAGGAGTAGCTGGTGAGCTTGAACCACCAACCTTGCCGTTCAAACCGACTTTGCAGTCTAGCGCATTAATCCACAGTGCCATACCAGGTTTAATGGACCAAGCTGTAGAGTAGCTATAGCTGCACAAACAAAGTTTAAAGCAGTCTTTCTCTTTCCTGCCATCAATCACTATCCATGACTTCATTCCCTAGGGCACTAGTGTCATCTGGACATGTCCCAATGCTGAGGAGTGGGGCCCACTAGATTATAACTGGTTTTCCTTAGATTGAAAATACTTAGACATTAAGTGGTTGAGATTTGTGCAAAATGACATAATTTCCTAAGGGTATTGATTCTGAATTGTATGCTAGAGGATATTACACAGTCATTGTCATTTGAAGAGATAATTAAAGATTATGCAGCTAAAACATGCTTAGGGAAATTATTATAGAGGTTTGTTAGACAGATTATTAATGGAAATGTGATTTATTTTTCTGGGTTTTGTGTTTGGGTGTTTCTTAGCTTTTAAAAAATTTATCATTTGCTGTCATTTCTTTTATCATTCAGAATGAACATTCGCACCTAAATTTTTATTTGTATTTTTTTCAAGAGTCCCCTTCCAAAATTATTGTAAATAAAAGTGCCATAAATCCTGCGTCTTCTTCCGACGCCCTGAATAGCTGTGCCTATTTGAAAATCTAATTCGTGCATCATTTCAGTCGAGAAAAGCTTTTCTCAAGTTACTTAAAAAATAAAAGTAAAGGAAGCTGCAAAAATGTCATAGGGGCTCTGTCTGACTTCCTCCAACTTGACAAGGAAGAAGAAAGAGAATCAGCCCAAGACTGATTCCTAGAGGCCGAGATCAGACGTGCCTCCACCTTTCAACCGTCTTTCCCTTTTTCGGACACCAACCCTGCCTTCCACTGCACTGCACTGCTTCACTGGGTTTGATAATTCATGGCAGTGGACACACATAACTCACAGAAAATATTCACGATAACAGAGTTTATTAAGTAACTTCACAGGGTCCAATTCAGGATCATAAACAACTCAGTATACCGCAGGTCTTGGGTCAGAAGCTTCTCTTCTCAGTTGTGCCACAGACACACCTCTTGCCTTTTCAATCTCTCAGCCATGTGCCCTCTTGGCCTCTGTCTTGTTCAGGCAAGCAGCTCCTTTAGCACTGCTCATAAATGCTCTAGCTTCCTGCCGAAAGGCACTCAGCCATATCAAGTAAATTCACTGTATCACAAAAACTAACACTATTTTGGATTAAAATTTTTAAAATCAAGACTGAGCTGACAGTTAAATTATTTAGGCTACATTTATTACACTATTTAGGCACTGTTGTTGTTAAGTCCTGTCAAGTCGGTTCCAATTCATGACAGCCCTGTATAGGGTTTCCAATGAGAGACTGTTGGACTTGAACCACCGACGTGATTAGCAGTCCAGGGCTTATCCTACAGTACCACATCAGGACTCAATTTAGCCACTACTTGTCTGTCCTAAAATATAGGTTGTTGTTGTTGTTGTAAGGTGCCATCGAGTGTGTACCAACCCATTGCAACCTTAAAATATAGGTAAGAGACAGAAATAAAATGAAAAGATAGATTTAAAAGACACTATCAGCCAATTTTACCATAATTTTACATCTTCATCATCAGCTCACAGTATCTGGAATGAATTCCATTAGTCTCACCACTAGAGCTTCTCATTGTCATTCACAGATATGTAACAACTTGAGCAGTAGAAAGATAGGTGAGCCTTAGAAGATTTTTATTTCTAATGATATCTTTTCAACCCTGTTTTCTTTTTATCCTCCAATACCATAACTCAAAAGCATCAATTCTTCTACAGCCTTCCTTATTCACTGTTCACATGCATATGAGGTTATTGAAAATACCATGGCTTGGATCAGGTGCACCTTAGTCCTCAGGCTGATACCATAGTAGCTGCTTGTCTAAACCACAGTCAATATATATACATACATGGGGCCCTGATAATGATGCCTTTCTTTTGGTTCTCTTCACTGACTGAAATGATTTGAGTTGTTAGCAAAATTTTTTTAAATCTAAAGATATTCATACCAAACTTCCAATGAGAGGTTAATCTGAGCCACTCTTGGACAAACAGGGAAAGGGAACAAAAGGGCACTGGTTGTTTTGGGAAAATAGTACTAAGAATGAGCATTGAAGTTTGTGCCTAAAATGTTCTCTGAATTTGCTTGCATGAATAAATCTCAGTAAATGTGTGTCTTGAAAACAGATTAACCAAAGTGAATAAAGACTTGTCTATGAAATGATTGAGGCACTGTATCCAAACT